GTGTAGCGTAGGAGCCTTATAGCGCTTTGGTGGATGTTTTCTTGATCCATAGAGCTGCTCTCTCTCGTCTGGAGGCGATTGGGTATCATCGTCATCGTCACCGTCACCGTCAGCGGTCTCGAGGATGATAGTCCAGCCTGGGGGAAAGATGGAGTGGTGGATGTTTAGATCATTGGCTTTGAAGGAGAGGCCAGCAAAGACGGGAGAGACAGTGATGGTTTGGCCATTGGGTAGGTGGACCACACTCGGTGCCATGGTAGGCAATCATGTACTCAACGATGCATAAGTATGTGCGTCAAAAATGTGCAGGTAGGTCAGTGCGATACTTTCCCTGCGCCAAGGATCTCTATCGGTCCGACCCACCAGACCTGCAGGCGCGAGGACGACAACGACCGCATCTGCAACTTTTGGTCTCTTCCAGTATGTTCGAATAATGCCGGGGAAAGAAGTACAAATGAGATGCCATTCAAACACCAGATGAGACTGGTTCCTGGCTATATTTCGAGCACTACTCGAAGTCACCTCTGGCACAGGCTAGATCGAAATTTAATACGGCAAATCTCCCCTACATCTTCTTTTTTTCATGGGACCTACTCCAACAACCTACCTGTTGTTAGGACTTTGACACACCTGTACTACACAGTTGGGCTATGTCAAAATTTCACATTGCTGCTTGTTTGCGCCACTGACGAGTCCTTGACCCATCAACTAGAGAAAGCACACACTTACATAAAATCTTGTCTGATGCTCATGCTTGAGGGACGTACAGGCTTGCATGGGCGTGTGTTTAAGGTAAGAACCCTACCTACCTTGCCATGTGTCAAGAAGCCTTGAGGGAACGACGCATCAAGTCAAACGTTGTAGGATTCGAACGAGTATCTTTTCGCGGCAACATCCCAAATGTGCATGCCATCTTTCACAAAATCTCAACAGAAAGCCTTGCCTAGAGTCGAGCTTGAACAGCGTTCATGCTCGAATGACCAACGATTTGAGATGACAGCGTGGCTCACCTTATCGTTCTATCACGCGTGAGACCGCGAAAAGTACCTTCAGCACACATTCATCAATAGCATGAGCCTGAACAGACACATTGCTGTGGTCATGTTCTAGTCTACCTTGCCATTTGCTGCAGCACAATACATCAAGGGCAAAGCATTGCAGGAACATCAAATCCTTGAGGCAGTTTCCAAGAAAGTGCTACAGAAGTAGAAAGTGGGCAAAGTCTCGCGATGTGGCATCTTAAGACATGTTATTGCAAGACAATACATGATCATAGGGTGGCTCTAAGCGCCAATCAGAACACTGTGATCTGACATGAGTTGTGATTGACCAAAATGGAAAAGAAATAAATCATTTGAGTATCTGGCAGAGAACCGCTGCGACGCGAGAAAGCAAAAGTGACAAGGCTTTTGAGACACTTCTAAATCCAATGCTCCAGTGCAGCCGTTAACAGTCTTGCAAGACTTCCAGCCCTTCCGAAACAAGCACTAATTGTGAACCCCAAATGCATACTCATAGAACGCCCCCATTAGCATTTCTTGGGTCGTCCCAAGTGAAGCATGCGGATACCTCACTCTCGACGTTGGCGGTACGCTCAATGGATGACGAATTTGCAGCAATCAAGCGCTTCCTCAAGCTTCCTCTTGCCCTCGACGCCTTTCGTCAATCCGGTCTGATGTTTGTCCAGCAAATGGTTCCGGAGTTGCCACCGCGTTTCATACTCTTTCTTTCCACGAGGGCATTCCGGGATCCTGCACTGATACCAGGTACCAAAGCATGTCTTCTCCCACCGCTGGGGGTCGCTCTTAGCTCGGCTACGACGACCGTCGACGAGAAGCTTGGCACACCGTTCGATCATCTTGATCGTATCAGGCTGAGCAAGATAGACCTCGGTGTATGTGCGGATTGATTCTAGAGTTCAGTCCTTGTATCGGAACCGTTGTGGGATTTTCGCGTTGTCGGTCTTGGGGTCAACTTTTCGTGCTGAGGTGCCAGTAGTTGGCGAATGCGCCTATTGCTGGTCGAAAGTATTTATCGTTGCCCCTTCCACTAGGTGTGCAGTGGACGTGTCGTTGGTAGCATCTGGAGCATATTTTCCGTTTGTAACCTGTTCGCTGGGCTCTCTTAATGCCTGCTGGCCCGCATGATCCATACTTTCATCGCCATCCGTGTGGATGGTGTCCGTCCCGTTTTGCAATTTATCATGCCTCACTTCCAAACAACCAGCCTGCCGGCCATTCGGTACACCGGCTCCAGCTCTTTTGTTGCCCTTGCGTCGATCCTTGGGCGAGAAAGATCTGACTTTGTCCATGCGTTCTCCAATCTTTATTCCCACTGGACCCCTCGCCCCCACTCGTCAAGCTTCATCAGGTCGAGGCTTTCTTCGACATTCAAACTGAAATAAGTAAATAGACTTCACTCCTTGCTTTGAGCATTGCTAAGTGCGTTTGTTCGGAATCAGAAGCCGACTTTCTGGCGAAATCGAGATAACTCAAGTAGTGCTGGAACCCAGTACCTTTGAAACGGCGTGACTCATTGTTCTTTCCCTGCCCCGATGCTCAGAACGGTACTGACACACCTCTAAGAGTTGCTGTTCGTTCTCCGGACTTCTTTGCAGATTTCCGCACAAGGATTATTCGCCCCGAAGCCGCCATCGACGTACTCGAACCCGTTAATTGAGGGAGATTCGAAATAGGTCGGTGCCGCAGATGTGGCACGAGCTACTTGCCATATAGGTATGTCATGAGCTGTGTTGGGATCTCTATTAAGCTTTCGCTCTTCAGATTCTTTGCTTTTGTGTAGGTTGTTTTTGGATCGAAACAAGTAGGGGTTTTCCATGCCAACCAGGCTCCATTACTGGAGAGCAACAATGACCCTGCAAAATGCTCACTGTAAGCCCCGTAATTCTCGTTCACTCCTTAAATTTTGCATCTGTTCTAATCGAATGCAAAGTTCCTACCGCCAGGGAACTCAGCCGCCTTCAGCACCCGTCGACGTACGACGTCTCTGGTTACATTCCCCAGTAATTCGGGATTATACCTGTCACGAGGCCCGAACAATGGAGATCTGAGATGGCTCTCGCGACTGTGCCCAATTACTTCCGCGCCCAGGATCTCGTATTCCGAGGTGCAGTCTCATCGACATTCATTCTCCAACGCCCAATCATGATGCCAATTAATCTGAGAGAGGAGTCGGCTGAACTTGTTTAAATACATGGAGCATTGGACATACCCGCCCGTACTTGTTCCAGCTATGTAGTCAGAATAGTGGCATGGGAGTCACGGCGACGACTCGGTCTTGGCAGGTTCGCCGCCACCATTGTTCGCCTTATATTTGGTATTGGTCGCCATGCATGGCGCCGGCGACAGTGGCGCCAGCGGATAAGAGCTTGACCCCGCCGGCCCGTCGGGTTTGCTTGGTCCACAGGCATTCTTTCTCTTTATTCTCCCAATGACTTTCATGACATTTAAAATGATCAGAAGAGCCGAGTATCTGCGGATACCTTCCCAACCTGCGCATCAGTTAAGCGTCATCATCAGCGGCAGAATTTGCGTAACAGCAAACTACGAACCTGGGTGATGAAAGGCGGCCGAGGTTATGTGTTAAGGTAGGCGCGAACGTAAAACATCGTGGCTTCTCCAAGCATACGTTCAAGAAGTACTCCAATACAATCCGGCTACCAAAAAGCATGCAGAACGCTCCAAAAGAATACCGCAGGGGTAGACAAAGTTGATTATCACGCCTTCGAGGCCAAAATCACAAAAGTGAGGGAATTACTCAGGGTCTGGAGAGGATACATACCCAGAGAGAGTATGGCTTTCTGATCCCACATAGCCGTATCTTCGATGAGGCAGAGGTTTTAGTATTGCTGGTTGATGAGTCAGTGGGCACTATTCGCCACAGTGGGACTGGGGGTTAGTGGGTCACATGACATGCCCCTGTTTCATGGCCCTGTCGGTACCCCTGCAAGGGGTAGGAGACAGGTGTCCAGTACGAGCTATATAGCCACCTGTTTTGCACCTGTCAATGGCTCTTCATTCGATTTCGTCTCTTTCAGAGCCATTGCATACTTTTTGTCCCACCCACCCACACCTGTACATAGCTAGCTATCATTCCACTCCAGGTCTATGCCATAGGCATGGGAGATTTCTTGCGCTGGGGTACGAGAAATATGCCTGTTCAGGCCTCTATTTAGGCCTATTTAGGCTTGTTATCCCCGGCGTGAGACGGCCCAACCACTATCTACACTCTATGTGGCCCCTATGCGTGCATTGATGCGTGTTTTTCATGAATGGGACAACTAATCTTCTAGACACTGGTGGCCCGAATCTGCGTTTCTGGTCTTGCTTTGGTACCTGTCGCTGGCTCTGCCTCTCGAATCCAGATGGTCACAGCACCCTGTACAATCATCTTGAGGGGCTGACGGTGCCTGAGTGTCAATATCTTCACTGATAGCTCCCAGTTCGTAAAGACTTGCATCAAGGTGATGAAAGGCCCCACTTCGAATTCAAGCGAGGTGGTCATGCTGCAATTCCCTTTTGGGACTCAGTAGTGCGTGCTTGAAGTGGACCAGGGTTTATTGGAGGAAAGAAACTGTTGCTTAAGCCGCCTGTGCCACGGAGGGATCCAAAATAAGGACATCCAGGGATATACATATGTGTATAGTAAGAGAAAAGAGAAGTAGTTGTTCGTAAGTTCGCTGGCTCATCGCACGAAAATATTGGTTTCCGGCACTCATTCTAACCCTTTTCACGGCTTCTAGCAACAGATAGGAGCTGCATGATCTTGATCATTTAACGTTGGTATATGAAGCCTTATGCAGAATAGCTGTTGCCTCAAATCTTGCTCGCTAAGCCCTTTCGAGTCAGCATTGTTTTGCGGGATTTGTTTCATCAATCTGGTTAGTAAAAATACGTTGTGATAATCTAGAATGCCGCAGACTTTCGTGCAACCTCCCCACCTTCCACCACCTTCATTCATCAACCATCCACCAACCATTCATGATCACATACCCACAGCATCACGCTTCCACAAATCCTGATATCCCGGGCAATATTCAAACTCGCGAGCAGTACGACTGGACGCTCAGTACTCTACACAGAGAGTTGTCTGTACCTGGTGTATCCGAGATTGTTCTACTCGTACGCTAGGAGATTTACACATACATCATAAAGTCAGCTCAAGTCAACCATATAATTTCAAACAGCTCAATACCACCAGAGCCGACCGCTATCGAATCTACCACCACGCTGAGAGCTATGGCGACCTGGGAGTCTGCACGGTAAATTCCACTTGACTCTGCTCATGCTGCGTGCCCTTGGAACGCTGACTCGTTCGTAGCCGGTCAAGAGCGAACGAGGAGCACGCCCTGCGGAGGCTCCAGGACGGGAACTTGGCGATCAGCGAAGAGATTACCAGGCTCAAAGCCGAGCGTGATCATGCCAAATTCACTGAGATCTGAGCGTTGGGGGAGGACGCTGCGAGACCCAAAGCCAAGCTTGATCACGCCATATTCACTGAGATCCGAGCGTTGTGGGAGGACGCTGCGAGACTCATAGCTGAACTCGACTGCTCCAAAAAGACTCCGAAGCAAGTGGACTGGGAGCCTGGTGAGTACATTGTACTCGTCTGGGAACACTAATACTGACCCAGTCCAGTCACAGGGCGAGTCCTCGGAGCCGCTCTTGAATGTGGTCCCCAAGCCTATGAGCGAGCAGTCGAGGTCCTCGCCAGCGATCCTTACCGTGACCAAACAGTCCATGTCACTTTCTTGAATGAAGAAGATAGGGCGATTGTAAGCTTTCTGATGTCTTATGCAGGAGCGATGGAGGTCTGGCGCTCAGGACTGCAGGATGCCTAGGTCGCCGCAAGGAAAGGGCGCGGATTATAACTGCATGTGGCGAATCACTCAAGCGCAGGGCTAGGCGTATGCTTTGACTTCTTCCCAGTTGTGCACCATGTATAGGATGGGTGGAAAGCGGCACTGATCATTTGGAAGGTATGCTTTTTCTTCCGTGTCCTTCTCGCCGTGTATACTTCTCCCAACTTCGCTTTGCCTGCTTCAAATATCTCACCTTCCTTTTCGACCTTTATATACGTTTAGACTTGACCTGTATCTGTCTTTCTAAGAAGCTTAGCTATTTTTCTCTCCATTGCTCATCATTGATATCTATATTCCCCATCATTGACGCAATATGGCTACGACTTACTGGGAGAAAATAGAGGAACGCCTGGCTAACGACACCGATTCTTTGAAATGGAGGGTCGAGTTCAAGGTTGAAGCGATATTTCCACGAAGCATACCAGCCGACTAACATGTGCAGTACTTGATGTTCCTAACACCGAAAAGAAACTTCCACCTGGACGAGGAACGGAAGCGTTACAACTTTGATGCTCTTGGAGGCGAAATACAGCCGCGCGTCATCGTGTTCAGAGAACCTCCTGGCAAAACAAGCTTTTTGAGCGTCAGGATAATCGACGAGGGCCGAGAACATATAGCAGGAGGTAATACTCTGGGATATCTTCTCAACCATGGACTTGCCGGCCGAAGGAATCTAAACTGGTGTTATACCGGCAAGGTATATTTGTCGGATGCTTGGTGTCGAACTCAGGATACTGAGGAATACTGAGCGATTGATAGCCAGGAGAGAGCAATGGACAGGGAGCTCTAGAGCTGATGTGTCGTGTGTGTCGTATTCCTTCCACCGATGCCCCTAACGGATGCAAATTCTCGCCTCACTGGGACGCCACACGCGCTGCCAGAAGCTGTCGCGGTGATGGGGATACAATATTCTGAGTCTTGACAGCACCATCGCAAGAGGAGTGTCTTCTGCTTGAGCTGCTTCACCATCCCAGTTCCCAAACGGTTTCCGCTTAATATCCAGATGTTCCTCCCAGTCGGATGAGGACAGCACCCAAGACGTACTCGTACACTCCTTTGACAGCTTGCCCGATGCGTGACTCGTCTGCTATCTCATGACCGCTCACGCCGTCAATCGACATCCTGATACCCATACCACCCTCGTTCACCCTTGCTTGCAAATCCTCCTTCGACGGTGCCCTTCATCTCTCACACGCTGTTACCACAATGCTTCGCTACGTAACCTGCGAGGCGTTTCATATTCTACGTCATCCGCACCGCCCAGGGTCTTGATTGATCTGATGCTATGGTAGCTCCCCGTCGACTTCTCTGCAATACATTGCTACCCAAGATCAGCAGTTGTCAGTAGCCAGCGGGGAAGGAGCAAGTTTGGTAAGAAATTCGGTTCATCAGTGTACCTTGACGATCTGGCGTCGGCTTGCATGCATACCATATGAGAATCTTCGGAGTGAACGGTATTGCCAGATCTACTTCCTTCTCCGTTCATCATTCCTCTGCTTGCAGTATATGTGAAGATCGACTGCCATTCATCCATGACGCGTTCGTTCTCTCGACGTGAGGTTTCCTTTTCAACAGCGGGAAACGATGAATAGGAGGCTCTGGAGTTGATGTGTGGAACATTTATTATCGTGCTTGAAGTTTTTGTCTCAGCAGATGCGAATGTATATGGCACCAGGAGATCTCAACCTCTCAAATTCCTACATAGGTACGGCCGAGGCAGCGCCGTTGAACGATTCATTGCCGCTTAAAGCCTTGAATTAGTGACCAGATTAATGATAGTGGAGCGCCCCTGCATGTCAACTCCGGCTACTTACCCTCAAGGGAGCGCATGACCAGTCTGCCTCTCCCATAGTCACCCATATCTCCCACGCACGGATGTGTTGACTTTTGAAATACTGCCCTTCAACTTTCTTCTTCCCATCAGCAACCCGTGTTCTAGGCACACTGACACCTGCCTATCACGGCTGTCGAGTTACCCGCCTCCGCAGACTGTATGCTTACGTTTGAAATCTCAACATCATTCTGTCTTCTCCAACTGTAGGGGAAAGAGTGCGCTAAGTCTGCCACGGGCCTGGTTCTACAACGCACAGCTCTTGGTCCCTGGCCTGCAAAAAGTCGTAATGCTTCGAGCCTTGTCCTCCCAAACCATTGGCGACTACGATAATGAATTGCCATATCTGCAGGCAAATAGAGATAGAGGACTATAGGTGATATTCGTTATTCAGCTGTTGCGAGAAGACCGAGGTGCTGACATGCCGAGACTTCCAAGCGAAAGGAGCGCTATCACTACAGCGTCCTGTTTCCGTGCAGTGGCTGCAAGGAACGTTAGTATGTCACTTCGCGCAGCATGCTCCAATGTTGAATTCGTTCAATTGGTTGCCGCTCCCACCTTTTTCATTGCCGACTTGGTGATCCGACTGGGCAGTGTTTCAGAAATGGCAGCAGACGATTGGTCCTCGGAAATGTGTATCGTGAAGAGTCATTGCGTCGAAGAGTAGATTGCTAGCCGAAGACACAAGCTGTACTAGCATTTTTGGGCGTCTTCAAGTCCAGGTCTAAGACTGAGGTCGCGAGGCGGTTGAAGAATCTTTTTTCGGTTGAAATGGCCGAGGGGAATTATTTGGAATAATTTTAAAGCTTTCCTCTTCTCGCTATGCCCGACAATCAACGTCACTATCCCACTATTCTCCATTATCCATCTCACCGCAACTCTTCATATATTTACCCATCTTCTCTTTTCCTATCTTCTGCAATGCCTGGAATATTGATAATGGCGCCGAACGAGAAGCAAGGTACCTGTTGACTGGGTCCCATCACTACCCCATCGAGCTAACAACAACATAGGCGCTAGTAAGGGAGGTCCTAGTAAGAACTTCTATGGTGATACCAATTGCTCATTCCCTGGCTGGCTAACAAGCTGACTCAGATTGATAAGCATATAGAGAGCCCGGAACTTCCGACTCCGAATATGAGAAAATCAAACGAAACATGCTGTAAGACTCTGCTCTTCTTTGATCGTCTCCCTAGGTCCCAGATAGCTAAACGCATGCAAGTGATTACCGTAACACCATGGATCGAGTACTAGAAAGACATTACGCGCCGCCCAATTGTAATGCGGCGTTGCAAAAGGAGAAAACGGAGTCTCTGAGGAAAAGCAAGGATGTACAGGAATCAAAGAGCGTCATGACACCAGAAGCCAAGCAAGCAAAGCCGCTGGGAAAGGACAGAGTGGATCGCGATGGCAGAGGAAAGGGCGCAGAGAGTGGCCGAGAGCGTCAATCGCAGGGGCGCTCGTGAAAGACCTGGTAACTTTGTTTGAGCCATTGTACAGGTGTGATATTGTAGATATAACGAAGTGATGAATGGCAAATTGTTACCTGCGTAAGAATGAGAAAAAGGAAAAGGAGAAGAAGAAGAAGACCACGAGAAGGACCAGTTTTTTCAGCGATTGATCGGCCGGTACTCGTACTCGTAGGGGGCTTAGCCTCCAGGCTTCGTTGGGGGCCAAACATTCAGTTGATCGACTTTCATGATCGACTTTCATGAACATTATTACCACCATAGGACGAGTGAAGAGAGCACAGAGCAAATTGAAGAGTGGAATCAAAGTAACAGCAAGTATGGGAGTCGACGGACCCAAGAGTGTCGATAATGCGACGGCTATTTTTGGACACCTGTCGACCCCGGCGCCTTAGCAAGGATTCATGCACCTCATCGGTGATGTCTCCGTCCTCAGAGCCATGGCCATGCTACTGTCAGGCCGACAGTGATGGCACAAGAAAAGATACACAGGCCCAAAAGATACAGGCATTCAGAGCGACCAGAGACCACAGAGGCAGCCCCGGCTCTAATGTGTTTCCCCCCGCCAATATGAGGGCATCCAACATTGAATCTCCGTTCGCACTCTCTGCCATCATTGCAAGTGCAAGATGATGTTGCGGTGTCTTCTTGTTGTTCCATTCTCTTACTAAAGACACGTTCTGCTTCCAATCTCATAAATATCGTGATAGCTCAGCTTCCTAGCAATGCCTCCATGACCGTCCCTCGCGCTCTTCTCCTTACTACTCCTCTCCGCCGATGCGCCCTCCTTCGTCTACACTGACTTTACAAGAAATATAGCCTTATGCTCCACCTCCACGTACCAAAGTCCCCTTTTCATCAGCAACTTCACTCTTGGCCCCCAACGTGTGCGGCAACCCGTTCAGCATCGGCGACCCTCTGAACACCACCATCCAAAGCTACATCATCAACGACTGTCCCACATGCTCCGACGGCCACGTACCTACCTTCTACACATACCGGGATGCAGCATGCTATCAAGGCGCGGCTGAAAGGCTAGAGACAGGGTTTGGGAGAGCGTTACAAGCTGTGTGATCATCGTGCAGTTTGTGGCTATGGCGTTCATATGCAATGGTGTCGGGAACTTGGATGGGAATGAGTGGGAGAGTACTGGTGATGATGATGGTTGTGAGAGCGATGGGAGTAGTGGAGAGGGTAACGATGGGGGTGGGAACTACAATGGTTGTACGTTCGGTGTTGCCCTTGGGGGTAATGGTGTGTACTAGTACAGCACTGACGACGGTTGTGATGAGCTCTACTACGCGGGCTGTGCTGCAACAAGCGACTCAAGTATCACCCCTCTCTCCGCTTCTTCGCCCTCGACACCCGCACCGTCTTCTTTAACAGCTACCTCAGTCTTCACTGCTCCGAGTCTAGGCTTCTGGTCCCCATCAACAGCGCCACTGCGAGCCCCGATCGTGTCCAAAAACCCGTCTTATACAGCAGCTACTATGACGGCTCCGAATACAGCCGTCCCCCAAAGTACTGCGCCTCCAATATCTGCAGCAAGTCCACCGGCATCAACAAGTGGGAAGCCTAGTAGCAACGCACTTTCAGCGGGCGCACGACTCCCTTTCTGGATGATAATCGCGACACTGACCATAGCATTGACGTTATCTAGAGAGCATGGATACGGGTAGCGTTCCGTCAAGCTCTTTCAGCAAGTGTTTCGGAATCTTAACCAGGACCTGGAACAGATTCCGAATGTTCGGACGGCGACTGAAAGGTAGTGGCGCCAGTTCCGACAGCTGTGGACTCCAAGCGATCTTCATGACTTTTCGTATCCTCCATATAAGCCTTGCCTCGACTTAAGCATGATCGGCGAAGAACGGAGCCATGGCTCTGGTCTCGAAACAATCCTTGCCCGCAAAGGCTGTTTCCTCAAAGAGACCGTACTCTGACGGACTACCGTAAATTCTCCATGGCTCAACATCAGTCGCACCATTCCAGTTGGCATACATGGTTGTATTCCAGCGGAAATTCCAGGTATAAGTATACAGATCTGGCTGAATCCGTGACCGTGCAGATCATAGTCCCTTGAACGTACGGCAGCTCCATGTCGGCATTGCCTCGTTAGCAATTTCGGCGCATATGAGCTCATTGTTTTGGCGAAAAGTCGCGCTGTTCTTCCCAGCCGATCAATCAGTCGTTTTTCACGAGAAATTGAACACTACAGAACAGAGCCCCGTACATGCCTTCTGGCTGAGTGCATAGTTCGATGACTTGTCCTGTCATTACTTTAAAGTCAAGTAGAACGTCTATAGCAGACGAAGACTCCGCTGTGGGTACCTTCCCGCCAAAGGTAGAGATGGCATTGTCGAACATCGATAGACCGAGGTGCGTTTTATTGGAGACTTTTCCACGGAGGTCTTTAGGTATCTCGACATCGACAAATGTGAAAACGACCTGGGTGTTCCGATAGATGGCAATTCTTCCCTTGAAAAGATCGTGACCGTCCCAGACCGGATTCTGCACTAGCCCGCGCTTGTTGTGCTCCAGGCTACCCACTCTTTGCATGTGAAAGAGGTAAGGTCGGTCTTGACTTATGAGCCTGGTTGTCAGGAACACCAAATCATTGTTATGTGGACAGTAACCTTAGGGGCAACTGTGTCTGGTCTTTATCATTCATATTCACTACTTAGCTTATCTATGAAACTCATCTGGGCTTTCGACGTATCGGCAAGAAAGCTTAAGGTTGCACATGATGAAGAAAAGGTCGAAAAGGCGAACTCGCTTGATACATAATAGGAGCATATTGTCATGAACTGAATAGGTGCTTGCGGCGTGAGTCTTTGAAACTGCGACTACAAAGCCTCAGTAATTGCTGATCGATTGTATGGACAGCAGTCCATCTGTGACCTCTCAGCCATCGCGTTCGGCCCCGAGCTTATGGACGCCTACCCCGATGCCAAAACCATCCTCACCAACCAGCCCGTCGACTCATGGCACACCTCTTGCTCGAAAATGCTATTGCAGGCGAAAAAGTATTGGCTGCACGGCGTGTTGCAACATTTCGCCGGGGTCACAGGCCTGGTCTATCCCTTACGGCGGAAATACTGGCAGTGCCTTTTCGACGACGATTTCGAGTCGAACGGCAAAGCGGCCATGTGCGCACAATACGTGGAGGTCCAAACCCATGCGCAGGAGATTGGATCGAGGGTGTTGGGATTCGGTCTGAGGGATGAATGGGGAGCGCTTTGCGAGTTGCTCAAGGTGGAAGTCCTAGATCATCCGTGTCCGAGGCGAAACGAAGGGGGCGACTGGATACTGAAGATGCGCGAGCGGGCACGGAAGGCTGCGGCCGTCAGGTTCTTCCGTGGCGGTTTGCCGGTTGCCGTTCTCGTGCTCGGCGCTTAGGGTCTGGCGGCGAAGTTTCCTGGTGTTCTGGTTACTTCGAGCCTGTGGACTAGACTAGCCCGCAGCTCAGCAATCTGGGTCTAATTCGGAATCCAAAGATCCGTGTTCCGCTGGGCTTGTGGCTTGGAAGACTCGATCCAGGCTGCATGCATTTGATACTATCGGCTTCGGTGTCTTTTGGTCAACGTGTTTCAATCGGCGAAACTTGACGACCAGTCCTGATTTGATGGCCATAGTACGGCTGGACCCCTCATCGAGGACATCCGAATCAGCCACACATGCCTCGTTACATCTGGAATCTGGTTGAAGTAGCGTCACTAGCACTGATAGGCTATGTACCTGCAGCCACCGGTGAAGTGTTGTCATTTTTTACAGACTGACGTATGGTTTTTAGCGTGCATTTTACGATACCGCGATGCGCACCGAGCTGCTCCGACCCGTGCCACGCCCCGGGGCTTTACAAATGCAGGGACTCCCCACGCGAGACTCTGCGTCGTGGATCTCCGCGTACAATCGATCGTCGGCTGTATCGTCGTGCAGGTGCGGGGCCGGGGGGCTCGAGCGCTGCTTTTTTCACCACCACCAAGACCGGACTTATGCGCACTCTGTTTACTCAAGCCGGTTTTTAATATTGGGCCACCTAACTTAATTGAGTAAAGTCGCCTATAAACTCCCACTTCACAACTCGATAACAAGAACCAATCCGAAGACATTTTCTATTACAAAGATATAGAGGGTAGCTAGCAGAGTATCTTTCATATCACTTTTGTTTTCATATGATTGTTCGTTGACAAGTTGTTTGGGATGCAAAAAGAATCGCTTTTCCTAGATAGGTTAAGTGGCCCAATATTAAAAACCGGCTTGAGTAATCAGAGCTGCAGCTGCAGAATAATACCCGGACGGGCAGGTCTAGGTACAAAGATTGCACGAGGGTTCTGCATGAGATTAGAAGCGCGATCTAGAGTGATCGATGAAATTGCCCGAGTCTAGTCTACCTAGGAGTAAGATCGGAGATCATCATGCAGCTAGCCTGCGTACAATCATGGCCTCCGACTAGCGAAAGACGGACGTTGTCTTGCTCCTGGCCGTAGTAAGAGAATGTAGCGAAAGTCATGCATAGAGACAATTTCCGTTCACGATAGGAGGAAGCTCTCCTTTATCAATCAAGATACATTGACTCTTACTGTCAAAGGTTCTTAGATGGAAAGGATTGAACAGATTTGAGGAAAAAAAGAAAAAAACGCTCTCTTGCAGGTATGTTGTAAAACAACCATCTTTATGGAAGTCTGTAAAAACTGTCGCTTTCTTCTGGCACTGCCCCTGAATTGTAGCGCCTGAATTGTACGACTCCTACAACTCCTGTGAAACTGAAAACGCAAGTAAATTATAGGCAATCGCTAACAACAATAAAAACCTACCCGTATCCCTCTTCCCGCTCTGACCTAGGCCACTGGATTGAGAACGAGACCTCATGAACGCTCATTGCGCACTTCGCAGAGGGTATGCCAGGGCAGAACCCTTCGCGCACGGGTTCCTGTGGCTCTCGTGCTGGGTCGATTCCTGCAACAGGTAATAGCTCATCTCAATGAGCATCTTACCAGATAGCACCTTTCGACTCCTGTGCGATTTCTTCGCTCACGATGGCCAACTGGTTCCCCTGTATTGCTACAATCCGTCAGAAACCACCCTCTCATCACTACTTTGGGCAATCCCCTCTTGTCCAGATACCCGAATCACTCGCGCAAGTGCTAATCGTCGTACGTTTAGCAGCAAAACGCATATGGACAAAGTACTAAAAACGGTTTCCAACAATGCTCTTGACGTCCCCGCCATAACCTGGCTTGACCCACTGCTTCGGAAGAAGAACCACAGGCTCATAATCCGGGTCCAGGGAACCTTTCCCTGCGATATCCGTCCGAAGAAGCCACAAATTCATGATCCATGCTTCATAGTCGACAACAATAACAGTGCCGTGCTTTTTCCACGCAGCTGGCTCTATAACAAGATCGACCTTCTTAGCTACGCCCAAAGGTCCAGCCGCCGGCGAGCGACGCCTTGGATTTCGCAAATTCAGCCTTCCTTTCTGGGGGGCAGACTATGGTTGAGAAGACAAGGAGCCATTGGAGAAAGTACGTACGCAACACGCGCCCTGATGAGTCGGATCGCTCTCTTGCCCGTAAGGTTGATCGCTATGTAAATACCATGTTTCCCAGCGATGGCTTCGCAGTCAGCGCATCTTCTTCGAGAAAAATCCCTATTCAGAGAGACGTCCTAACGGACGGGCAACGGGACGAGTTTTGCCCCCGTGAGATGTCTCGGGTCTCAGACTGTGGTAGGATTTCGGAAAGGATGGCCTCGATCCTACACAGCTCAAGTAGCCAGAGCCCACGCACGGTGCCTCCACATTCAATCGTTTTCTCGTAACCATTGTTTCCAGGGTTCTGTCAAGAAGTTCATAGTCGTTGAATCCTGATTTCGGAAAGTCTTGGGGATATACCGCGCCGGAATGCATGATATAGATAGGTACCCGTTGGCCGGCTTGTTCTCCAAAACCATAGTCCTTGATTATGCTCACATCATCCGATCCCCTTTCCTGAGCAATCAACCTGCATTCTCTTGGGGCCCCGGATTGAGAGACTTCAGCATATATCGGCGGGTTCAGCGGGTTCCCTACGTTCCGGTTGTTAATAACCCGGGCCGCCGGTTCGTTCTCTCAAGTTTGTATGAAGCTCGGTGGTTTCAAGATCTGTGATCTCGTCTTGTCGCTTGAGACTTGACCCGCTGAGAGGGACACCGGATTGGAATCGAAAGGTCTGACCAGGCGTAGAGGTCTATAGACGAGATACACTCCAAGCAAATACTTGTATCCACGTTCCAATGGCGGCAAAAGTAAAGCGATTCACAGAAAAGAGCCATATCGTTGCGAAACCAACGCCTCAGATCCCCCTCCGGTCCTGCAACATACCTCCCCCCTGCGCAGCACGCTCATCGTTTCCTTTCCCGTTCGCAAGCCTAGGCAAAACGCCAACATCGATCAAATACCTCACCGTCCTCCGCACCGCTTCCTCGACGCCCTGGATCCCCGTCCCTCCGCTCGACGCATCCTCAATATCTTCCCCGATACATGCCCAATTTCTCTCCAACATATGCAACAGCGGGAAAAGCAAATGCTTCTCCCCTTTCTCCACAAGCTCATCCCTCACCCTCCCCATCAATCCCAGCGCTTCAAAGCGGCACCCGCACTCCTCCTCCACAGCATCCACAGATCAGAGAAAAGCAGACCGTCCAGCACCCTCTCGACACGACCCGAAGGGCGAAGAACATCGCTGCTCTCATAACGATCGCCATCATCGCAGACGCCACCGACAACAAGGCCAGCCACACGATCCACATCCGGAAAACACGGCCAATGCGCCGCGTCGTCGCGATTGTACGCCCCAATCTCCACGCAGCCAGCAACGAGACGCCCCGGGACGAAATCCTTCCGGTTCGCAATGCCGGCATGGACGGAGCCGATGCTGTAGGCCCGGCTTGACGGTACAGAGCTTCTGCGTCCGGAAATCGTCACGACGAACACACTTCGGCACGGTTCGCTCCAGCACGGTATCTCATCTGGGTGATCGCCGCTCGCTTGGCTGATCGCTGCGGCGTGGGCGGAGGGGTCCTTGGGTGACGATGTTGGGCTTTTGGCCACCGGAGACGAAGATGCAGGAGGCAATGCTGGGTGCTCGCGCGGTTACGATGAGGGGTTTGAGGGTCAAGTATTCGGAGCTGCAGTGTACTCCGGCGCCGTTGTGGATGATGGTGTGGATGCAGAACTCGGGTGGAGTTGTTGTACCTCGACGGATGTGTAGCTCTTCCGAGCCCAGGCCGAGGTTCGAAAGGGTTAGATTCCCCACCCACACGGTGGTTTTGAAGGTCTAGGAGCCTTGACACAATCCGTTCATCGAGGCACTGTTTACGATTCGTTGTAGTCCTTCGTGTTCGCTAGGGCAGCGGATTATATGTGAATACCTGGATTTCCGATATCTCCGGGGGTTGTTTCAAAATGGCTAAAACGAGGCACCCTGTCGTGCCCGTGAGGAAAATACTCCGGATGGGATTATGCGGTTTGAAGTCGTGGCTTGGGAATTGTGTGTCGATGCTGCGGAATAGATTTTCGTTTAAAATTCTCGACTCGTGTAAAGCTCGTGAACCAGGGTATCTTGGACGCAACAGTCTCCAGGCTATTTGAGCGGGTACTATATAATTCTACCCTATTGGTCGAGGGCGACTGAATGCTGACGAGGATCTGTTTGCGATCTGCAGATCAGGTCATCCTTTCGTATGCAATCAGCAGATAAAGTCGCAATAGCAAATGTTGGAGGAGACTAGCCGCAGCGGGGATGGAACAAAGTTGGAGCCGAGGATACCTCTACACTCTATGAAGAGGGTTTGCTCAGAATGTTAGTAACGGAGGGACTGAAAGATGCACGGGTAAGCGGAAGAAAGGTCGACTGTAAGTGCAAAGCGTCGTTATGCGTAGGAAAACTCCGATCGAGGCCTGAAGAACAACCTTCATTACCCGAATACATAGCCCAATCGAGGGGTCTTGCCCGTGTTTTGTGAAGCCATGGGTTCTCCCGCTCCATGTCTTCCATCCCAGCGCGAGTTGCGAAGCCCACCCAGACGCAAAGTCAAACTGGCGATACCATGCCCTAAAGACTTGACGAACCGGTAGAGACTATGTATGATGCGGAGATTGACTCAGGGTGCCTTGTGTACATTGGTGTGACACTCTTCGACAGTCCAAGTGTCTGCAAAGTCTCTAATGGTACATCATAGAATCATACTCTGTAGGCATCAGCGTAGAGGAGTGAGGAGGCATTCGCGAGCACTCTGACCTGTGAAAGGAAAGTAGCCCCTCGAGAGAGACCGAAACGTGGTATTTAGGAGTTCAGATACCAATAGATCGTTGTCGAAAATCAGAATCCTGCAAATTCCAAAGGAAGGCACAGTCAATAGTTGGACTACGACCTGAATCCGGTACGACGTCTGGCTTCAAAAACCAGAAGGAACTCATGGCCATCATGCAGTTCCCCAAGAGGCCACTCTACTATACCTCGCGCCCATGCCAAAACTTCAAGTGGTTCCGTATGATCGACCCAAAAGCCAGTATCAACACTTGACACAAGCCCGCTGGCATCCTCGGGGTCAAAGAGACTACCGCGAAGTTTAGCATCTTTGACATAGCGTATTGGGGACGCTTTCATGATCCCTTCCGCATATTCCTTGATATAACCAAGACGGACCGTGCCGATAGAGCCTGTGATATTCAGCGTTGAAATCCAATAGTGACATTGATACGCGCTTACTTCCAAACGCTTTGGCAGCAGCCAGGCAGGCCGCGGGATGAGAGCTCACGATGCCGTAAATGTCGTCGTCATCGTGTCTGAGCCGATTCAAGAGACCGGTTGCAAGTCCTCGCTCTCGATAGTCTTCATGTACCACGAGCTGAGTAATCCAACATATAGTCTTACCATCGTATGCCCAGCGGCAAGCGAACACGTTACCGACGAGGCGCCCGTTCACGGTGACTTTCCCGTAAGAGCATGTGGTGTCGTCGGGTAGGTAATCCGCTCGAAATCTTTCCTGACCGAGTCGTACGTGACTACCTTTGTATCTCTCAGCGGGTAAGCCAAACTGCCGAGAGCCAACTTACCAGCCTTTGGAAAGTTGCCGAACATCTGTGCAGCGTGCTCACTCCAAACGCCGTAGTGTTCACTGAAGAGCTGTGAGGCTTCTTGAAGCATACCCTCTGTGACCCGACTTCCATCACATTTTTCAAACACCACTTGCGTCTCCATGTTCAAGCGCCTAGTTCTGTGCTTCTTCTAGGCTCAATGAACAGTAAATCAGGTCGTGCGGAGAAAGTAACGGGTTTGCGCGCGGCGTTGTCGATGTTCTCGTCAAGGAGCTGAAGCGATACTAAGGCATGTAGATAGCTTGAGAGACTTTGAATTCTGAGGTTACGTTGAATATACGGAGCTTTTTAAGTCGAGGTAACTGAGGGAACGTGTTGGTCGTATTGGTCTGGGGTAATTAGCTCACTCGGCGTTTGCGAGCATTTGAGGCGCCAGGAAAGCCGAGATGTGACTCTCGGAACCACCCGATCACTCTGGGCCACAGTTTATCGTTGGATTATGCGCTGGGTAAAATGTCCAGTGAGGTTTGAGTTTGTGTATATCGTCTTGGTCTCTGCCCACCTGCACGTGTTCCTTTAGCAGTCCAGTCACATAGCACTGAACGCTTTCGCCCCGAGTAAGACCTTTCAGAAATACTTGGCACATAGGTTTTCCTTTGGCTATGTAATGCTAGTGTAAATGCGTGCGAACAACCCACACCTTTCTTCTCGAATTTGGTTAGATATCTCCAGTTTGCTCACCACATCTTACCCCATCTAGCCATCTGGTTCGTGCAAACTAGCCTTCCTGAGTTTCACATAGCACCTCACAATGAACACACAGACCCACCCTAAGCCAACACTTCTCATACCTTGGAAACCTCACATCACCCTCTCCCGAAAAGTGCACCTAAGCTCCGGCTTCTCCCATAGGGTATAACCTCTGGTATCCCTCTCCCAATCCACATCCTCGCTGTTAAACCAGCACAAATCGTATTTCCAGAACAACTTGGCGAGGACCATGCGCATTTCAAGGTACGCGAGACTGCTCGATCACATATCATATCAGCCGCTTCCCGCCTATTGCTTCGTCTTACTCACGATCTCAACCATAACGGACACTGCGTTGGTGGGGATTCGGAGGATATGGTAGATAAATTGCAAGACTCACTTCCTTCCCAAACATCCTCTCGGTCCGTACGAAAATGGCAGACTTCGTTCTAACTTGTCGCCCCTTTGGCCCTCGGATGTGGTCTGGATCCAGCGCTCGGGGATGAACTGCGACGGCGCATGGAAATTCGTGGGGTCTCGGAGGACGGACCAGGGGTGGACTGATACACGGGTCTGGGTTGTAGGTGTGAGCATGAGAAATTGCCGTCGGTGAAGTATGATGAAGGAAGAGAAGAGAAAAGTCTTGGAAAAGAAGAAGAGGAAGAACAGGGGAGAAACATACACCTTCTGGGATAAATCTCCCGGAAATCTCACACCCGCCCATTGGAACGATCCGGCTCAAATGGGCTGCACCAGCTGGGGGATAAATTCTTAAACCCTCTTCAACTACGGCGTTCAAATACACGCAGTCCAGCAAGCCCTTGCTATCGATAGCCTCGATGCTCGGAAACTTGCTACACAGCTCATCCTGTAGCCTGTTAAGGGCTTGACGATTATGGCCAAGATAGTACATAACGCCGGACAGGAAAGTGGCGGTGGTGACGGCGCCGGCCATCATGATGACGTTGTAGTGGGAAGCGATTTCTTTTGGGGTTGCAGCGAGGCCTTTGGCGTTGAGGATGTGGTACATGAAGTCTTTGCGGTCGGTCTGAAGTTTGAGGCGGCTTGAGGAATCGCCGCGTCAATTTGATCAAATTCCAGGAAAGTTTGCGGAAGGGGAGAGGAGAACTTACGCTTCGGTGTGCTCTGTTGTGTACTCAGCGTGCCGGTAGAGCGTTTGTTTGCTGTGAGCGGGCGGAAATCGTTCGAGGAAAGAGAATAAACCAGGAACGCAAACAACAGCGCGCATGACGTCGTTCATGTAGGTGGAGTTGACAATCACGTCAGCCCAATGGTAACGATGCTCTCGACAGAAGGTCAGCCTAAAGTTTTGTGGACAACCCGAGAAAGACGACTACCTGCTTGCTCCTTCAATCGCAAATCCCAAGAATCGCCAAAGGACATTTCACCCATAATGTTGAAGGTCACATAGTTGAACTTTCGGACAATGTTGATTCCGTTTTTCCCATCCTCGCTCTCGATGCCGCCAATCGCGTCCAAGAAGTCATCAGTTCGGCGTATGAGGACGTCTTCATTCCGCATCAGATTGGACATGCTGAATGCAAAGCTAAGCATCCGCCTCATACGTGAGTGCTCTTCCTTGTCACATTCGTTGATGATGTTCATGGTGTGATAGACCTCTGGTGTGAAGAATCGAGGGTCCTTTTTCATAGAGGGGACGGTTTCCGTGCCGAAGCCGTAGACGATCTTTTGAGCGTGGTGGTCATTGAAGCTTAGGTGGTTCGGGGCGATACGGACGATGGGACCTTATAGGTATCAGCATAGCTCATAATCAAATCGCATAGGAGACTAACCATATTTTTTGTGCCAGTCATGGTTCATCCATGGACCTCGGCCGCTGAGGAGAGCGTAGTACCAATATCCCTACGAACCTGTTAGGGGTCTGGATTCTGGTTATTGGACGTCTCTGTTGTCACATCGCTCCCTTTTGACAGCAACGGTCCCGGAAATCTCGCTAAGGGATGAAAGAAAAAGAGGTACGCAAGTCGTCCCAAAGCAAACAAGGCAGACTTTAAGAAGTCAGCAAAGGAGCTTCCTGTGAAAGATATGGTTTTCAGGATGGTTGTCATACCAGGCCAATAGCAGCGTATAGCATGAGCGACGGGATTTCAAGAGCGAAGGGAAACATCTTAGTCGCAGTTTCTTGCTTCCGATTGATGAGAATTGCACAATCTACAATGGCGGAGTTGGTAGAAATGTTGAAGAGAGAAGAGACTGACTACCTCTTTTTAAGGATAGTGTCTGATACGGTTCAAATACGGAGTGTAACAAGCTCCAGTGTGCAACCCCCTCTCTTCTGTCCTGGGGAACTGGTTCCCTCCAACTCCGAGCCCCACTGAGACATCTTTCGGTCATTTGGGTCAGCACCCGCAATCCTTATAGGTAGGCTTCGCCGCCAGATGACAAGAGCTAGTTCAAGATGTGTAGGATGAGAAGCTTGATACGTACTCACTCGTTGCACGTCATTCCTTCAATGTTAATTAGGATTGGCTGGCGCGTGTAACCTACTGGAGCAAATGGTTCCTACTCCTAGACACCATACTCTCAGCCAATCCCACCATCTTCCATGAGGCAGTGTACAACATGTGTTTCACATTCAAATGCCGGCGGCGGTGTGGACTGTGAACTATTGAGATCGCAGAGTACCACAGTAACACCAATCCTGACACACGGTGTGATAACGCAGGGGCCAGACCGAGATGGACCGAAACACGGCAGCGTCGATGCCACTTTCATGGCCGATCGGGTTTCAGATCAGTCCCCAAAACTTGCTTAATTGCGTAAAAAGGAGCAAATTTGATGACGAGGTTTGGAAAGAAATTTTTGACGAATTGTCCAAGTGGCTCATTTCAAATCTCCACCAAATTCCTGTGTTTTCGTTGCTGAGATCGATTTTCCTTACCCCACGTCGACAATGTGTCAGTATAGAGCACACCGTGGAGGGCGACGTTCAAATTAGACCATCCAACATGCAGTGGAGCTCCGACCGACAGTGGTGTATGACACTCTGCCAGTTCATGCCGCTGACGCACACTGCACCTTCGGCGGCGGCGGGTTCTTCGGAGGAGCGAGATCTGCTCCGTTCGGAGGTCACATTTTAATCTCGTCCTGAGGGATGCATCCCTAGGTGTGTGTGCGCTGAAAATTGGTACCATTGACGCACATAAGCATTTCCCCTTGGGGCGTAAAGACTTGCATTGGATCCTCCGAGTGGAGATTGATGAGAGATGGCAGCTGCTGATGGTGCATACCATGCATACCCTACTCTTCATAGCGTGGTCGTGGTCAGCCAAAAGTAAGATAGCCTGGCGCGTCAGAACCGGAGATCTTGACGGACGGGCCACTGCTGATGTTAGGAATTATTCCTTCGAGGGACTCATATTGTTGTTGGGGGTATTTAGTTCGTATTAGGTTCGATTCCTAATGGCGCTGATACAATGGTGTAGTGATTTATTGTTTTCTCATATAGGCCCAAATATAAATTTCCCCGCTACCAACATCGTAGGCCACTTTCACTAGCCCTCACGCCTCATGATATGCAAAGAGCCATACTATAATTTATCATAACGATGAAATATAAGAAGAGAGTAATAAAAATAATAATAAAGCCTTTAAGATTCTAGAATCTAAGGCTAGTAAATCTATAATTTTTTTAAATCTATATATATTACGAGTAAAGGCCTATGAATTAAATTCATAACCATTTTTTCTAATTAGGGCTGTCGAGTAAATTTTAGTAAGCGATCTTTGATGAGCGATCTTTGGTGAGCGATATCTGAAATCCTTACTTATAAATATCTATAAGACTAAATTTAGTAATTCTTTTTTATCCTGAAAGCCCACATTACGTTCTATAATTTAAATAAAAAATCTTAAGATTTTAATAGAAAACAAAAAAGTTATTCTAAAATCAAATAATGTGCACCTGTTTTTTGATCAGGGCTGTGGAGCGAACTTTGGTGAGCGATATTTGAATTCCTTGCGCTTTAATAATTATAAGACCAAATTTTAGAATTTTTTCATTATTGAAAAGCGCAAGTTTTAGACTATAATTTAAAAAAAAATCTTAAGATTTTAATAGAAAATAGAAAAGTTATTAAAGGGTTAAAAGTAGGAGAAGAGACTTTTAATAATTACGAATATTAATTTATTTACCCGCGATAACTTAGTCGATCTAATTAAAGAGCGTAGATCTAATAAATTAATAATTAGCTATATATATAAATTCAAGGTTTTCTAATTTAGCTCTACCTTATTCTTTTATATATACTAATAAGCTTTATTAATATTAAGATAATTAGTATATATAAAAGAATAAGATAGGGCTAAGCTTAAAAATCTTAAATTTATATATGTAGCTAATTATAAATTTAGGGTTACGACGCTCTTTAGTTAGACCGACTAAGTTATCGCGGGTAAATAAATTAGCATCCGCAACTATCAAAATATCTTACTCTACTTTTAACCCTTTAATAACTTTACTATTTTCTATTAAAATTTTAAGATTCTTTTTTTAAATTATAGAACGAAATGTGGGCTTTTAAGTAAAAAAAGAATTTCTGAATTTAGTCTTATAATTATTAAAGCGCAAGGAATTCAAATATCGCTCACCAAAGTTCGCTCGACAGCCGGACAGCCCTGATCAAAAAACAGGTACACATTATTTGATTTTGATATAACTTTTTGGTTTTCTATTAAAATTTTGAGATTTCTTTTTTAAATTATAGTAAGAAATGCGGGCTTTCAATTAAAAAAAGAGTTCTTAAATTTAGTCTTACAATTATTAAACGGCAAGGAATTCAAATATCGCTCACCAAAGTTCGCTCACTAAAGATCGCTCACCTATTTACTCGATAGCCCTGATCAAAAAAAAAAGTATGAATTTAATTCATAGGCCTTTACTCGTTTATATATAATATAAATAGCTATTATTTATTAATAAGAAATATAGTAAATATTAAAAATATTATAACGATAATAGTAATTATAATAATACTATATAATAAGACTTATAATTAAATTTAAATCGAAGAACTATTTATAAATCTTAATATAATTTTTATTATTATTAATAGTCTTAAGCTATTTTTTCTTATAATTTATATATAATTATTTAATAGAAAAAAGATTATTTAGAAGATATAGCGAGAAATTATCGAGATATAAATAAATTAAATTTATATTCTATAATAAATATATATTAGATACTATAATAGTAGTAGTAATAATAATAATATATATTTATTCTATACCGATATCTCACTAGTTGAGCTTATTAGAAGAAGACTAAAAGTTGAAATTCGAGGACCTTTTGCGCTAGGGCAGATGTAAATTGCATGATTGGTGTCTCCACCAACGAGCCTGGGTGCCAAGCCGGCTATAGTCAGCTCTGTTCTGAGGCCCTGCAAGAAACATACTACAAAGCAGGGGGCCCGCTCCTGCCACATCATTCACGCTTACAGCATACTTGTGCATGACGTAGGACACTGCAACAGTCTGTGCCTTAATTTACACCGCCGCTTTCAGCCTCGAAAGCTCATCCCTTGCGCACAGTGTTCGTAGAACCATCACCATGTGCGCTATGAAAAGAACACCCTCTGTCGCTAGCCGCTCTTTCCAAAGACATTTGAAAGTGAAGGCTTCAATTTGTAAACAAGCAGCAAGCACGTTCTGCAATCAATAATCAGATTCAATCAAGATGCCTGTTGATTTCCATCTCTCCCCACCCGAAGAAGGCATCCGTAAAGCCGCCGCCGGCTTCACGGCCGGCCCTCTGAAGGATGCCAAAAAGACCTATATGCAATACCAGCACCACCACGAGAAATTCCAGTCCACACGACCCCTATACCATCAAGCAGTCGCAGGAGGCTTGATCAAGGGCCAAATCCCACCTCGTCTGGGAGGAGCAGGAGGCAGCTTGATGGAGGCGGTTCTTCTGGTCGAGGAGATGTACAGAGTTGAGCCGGCCGCGTCGCTGACAATCTTCTCCACGGGTCTGGGGCTGACGCCCATGAATCTGACGGGAAAGCCGGAGCATAAGGAATTTCTAGAGCCATTTTTGAGCGGGAAGGGGGAGCCTTTGGCCAGTATGGTATTTTCCGAGCTAGGGGGGGTTGCGAACTGGCTGGAGAAGGGTGCCCCAGGGCTCAACACGACTGCGACGCTCGAAGGAGACGAGTGGGTGCTGAATGGAGAAAAGGTAGGCGCAATAATTCTCCTTCTCTCCGTGCCACGGTTGACTCGAAGCACAGATTTGGGCGACCAACAGTGCTGGTTGGGACTTTGAAGGCGCAGACCTCCAATGTGTCGTCTGCCGGGTCGCAAACCCCAGCTCTGACGAGCCCGCCGACGCCATTATGATACTCCTCGTCACAATCGCTGACATCAGGCACAACGCCCTCGGCGCATTTAAAGTTCTTCGCCACGTCCCCACCGCCGGTCACACCGCCTGCTCAGGCCCCCATATCAAGTATACCAACCTCCGCGTACCCGCTAAAAATGTCCTATGCCCGCCTGGTACCGGCGCGCCAATTGTCTCGGGCGCTTTCGACTGTACCGCCGTCCCAGTTGGCGCCATGAGCGTTGGTATCATGCGAGCTGCTTTCGACGCCGCGCTGGCGTTTGCAAAAAGTGATAACCGCAGAGGGGCGGCCGACTTGCTGACAAGGCAGGCCGTGGCGGATTTGTTGAGCGGTATCAAGATGCAGACGGAGGCGTGCAGAGCCCTTACGTGGAAGGCGGCGAATTGTCTTGAGAATGGGCCCGGCGATTATAATGCTAGGCGTGAACTGGCGCTGGCGGCGAAGATATATTGCTCAGATGCGTGCACCAAAGTCGTGACGGAGGCTATTAATGTGGTCGGAATGTATGACTTCCTCTCCATGCTACCACATAATGTGCCAGATCCAACTGACCCGGTTCTGCAGAACTGCATATGACGCCGATCAGCCGTTTGCGGATCTATTAAATACGGCCATGGTGCTGCCGATTTTCGATGGAGGGAATGTTGGAATCAGACGTCGTCATATGCAGGAGCTGATGTTGTCAAAGGACTATGATGCTTGGGCGTCGACTTATGGTCCTTCGAGGTAGGGTAGTATGAGTAGGGTGAGGAGCGAAACAGAACTCCCCTATAATGTTACTTGACCATGTCTACAGGAATGCAAGTTGTGAGATCAGACTAAATTGTGAAGCATTAGAAATCAGGATCCTCTCAAATGCGTGACCAGTCATACCATGAATACAGGGTAATGGGAGAATAATGGGACTTGACGGTAAGTTGGGAGCTAGGTGGGAAACATGTAGATGAGATGTCGCAGATTGGAGTCACAGGTTACTCGACAGGACAGGACAGGGCTGATTTGTGTGCTTCCCGTCGGCACACTGACGTCATCGTCAGACTAGTTAGCGTAGTGACGAGGTCACTGTTCGGATCGGGCCTGGAGGAGCTTTCAGGATTATACGCTCCTCTTCTCTAGGTAATGGACTTTTGCATGCCGACAACAGATACCTCGAAATTTTCATCATTCTTCAACCATAACATCACTCCCTTATAGAATCGACTCGGAATACTGAAATCCGCAATATACATGGGGTTCATGGTAGACAGAACACACTCAAAATTGTCAAAAAAAGTAGACTGCAGAAATGTAATACTTCGACCCAATTGATCCTCTTACCATCCGCACTTCATTTCGAACTCCCAACTCCCCTTCTCCTGCTCATACAGCTCCCAGAATTTCGTCGCGATATTTGACGGATTATTCACCTTCTCCTCCGGGGTCACCTGCCCGCCCACCGTCACCAATGCCACATGCACCACGCCTTCATTGTCCGCCGCCAACAACTTGACCAAGCTCGCCTGCGCCGCCTTGGCCATGGACAAGGAGAACACGGGCGCAAACGGCTGGTGGATGAGCGCCGACGACGTGACGAACAGCGCCGGGTGCGCGTCCGGGTGCGACTTGGCCAGTGCCTGCAAATGCGGCAGCATGACGCTGGCGGTCGTGTAGAGACCGAGGTTTGGGATCTTGAAATCCACGAGCATGTCGTCGGTGGTGTATTGGCCGAACATGCCGTAGCTGACGCGGGCGGCGTTGTAGATGAGGACCTCGGGGACGCCTACGTCCCCGACGGCCTCTTCGAGGGCGGCGGTCAGGGCGACGTGGTCGGTCACGTCGGCGGGGTAGGTGTGTACGGAGGCGGAAGGGGCGGCGGCGGTGACCAAGGATGCGTCACGGGTGAGATTGGAAGCGGAGCGGGAGAAGAGGGCGATGTGGGTGAAGCTGTGCGTGGCGAAGAGGCGAGCGATGTGCGATCCAATCATAGGCCCGGAGCCGACGACGAAGATGGGACCTGAGGGTGCCATGGTGGTGATTTATGTGAGAACTTGAGGTAGGACAGTTGACTGTGCTAATCTAAGAATGCTACTGAGGGAAGAAAAGGGGCAAATTACCGAATCATACCCCGAAAGTACGAATCCTTACCGAATCATACCCCTAATTACCGAATCATACCCCTACACCAAGTCACACTCAAATATGGGGTATGATTCGGTAATTTGCTATTGCTTGGGGTATGATTTGGTAAGTTGTTAAAGTGGCCTCAAACTACGAAAGGAGATAATCCGCGATCTGGCTTATTCGATTATAGAAATAAGAGAGTTTCTCCGACCGCATTTAATGAGAATTCTATCAGCCTAAAAACATCAGACGAAAGCCGAGTAGGCGAAATTTCGAGCCCGGGGGTGTCCGCACTTCACGCTGTAGATATCTCTATTCGGGTCCTATAGGCCCCGTAGGGCCCCGTAGGGCTTAATAAGATCCCCGAAGGAATAATTCCTACTGCGCTGCGCAACGGGGCGGGATAAGCTTCGGGGGTCAAACCCCGCCCCGAACCCTCGCCTTAAACCCCGCCCCGTTGCGTAGCGTAAATACCACCGTTATCAATAATCAAGTCTACGATAAGCCTACCGCTACCATTACTTTTATTACTCTCTTTCCAAAGTGCTTTTCATCTTTCGATCACTCTACTTGTGCGCTATCTATCGCTATTATCATCAATAATTTTAATAGCCTCTATATTTATCATTTAAATACTATTTAAAATACTATTCTAATTACTTCTAATTATTTCTACGCGATACGTTTATTATACTTATTTCTCTTCTTATAATATATTATAGCGAAGAATAATAAGTTAAAATAATTAAAGGCCTTTAAGAATTATAAGATTCTTTTTATTAATTAATAGCTTCTATTTATAAAGAATATATCTAAGATTACTTTTAAGTATCTTAAAAGTAGTTTTAACGATATTAAATACGAATATATATCTTATATAATTATTAAAGCTTTATTCTATATAATATCTTTAATAATTATAAAAATAATATATTAATTAGATAATAGAGAATTTCTTAACGCTATATTATATCTAAAGTAATTTATTAAGTATATCGAAGGCGATATAATAGCTATAAAGAATTCTATAGAAATAGTTATTATTAAAATCTAAAAACTTATAAAACTATAAATAAAAGATCTTTTAGTTATCTTCTTATCGCTATTATAAAGTATAATAATATTATACTTTATATAGTTAATATTACTCTTAAATCTAGAGAATAAAGAGAATCGCTAGATTATTATTAAAGTAAAGAATAATAATATCGCTAAAAGATTTCGTATTAATACTATTAAGAAATTATTATAATTTAACTCATATATATATATAGTATAAAAGATGTTAATTATCTATATAGTCTATAGATATATATATATACGATATTAAGTCTACGCTAGTAGCTCTATAAGTATCTCTAAGATATCTTATAATAAACACTTTAAAGTAGCTATAAAACTATATTAAAATTTATTTTAAGAAATATTTAATATTTAAAGCTATAGAGATCGAAGTAATTAAATAATTTAAATCTAAAAATCTTTAACTTCTAATAAAAACTTAAGAAGATATTAAAACTCTAAGAAATATTAAGAAAGCTAAGAAATATTAAGAAAGCTAAGAAATAGATAGCGTATTTCGAGAAAGACGCGTTTATTTTAATCTCTATATTCGATATAATAATTTATAATATTCTTATTAAAATTTATTAATTCTCGAGAGATATTAAGAGTCTTATTAAAATTATTATCGATATTAATATATATAGAATTTTTAAAATAAAAATTTGATATCTAGACTAGCTAAATAAAAATAAAATAAAAAATTTATTAATTAAGACCTCGATAATAATTATTAAGTTTATTAATTTATATTATATAAATATTATTTAAATAGATAACTTAAGTTAGATATTATTAAGAGAAAATAAATATTATAATTATATTAATTATATATAAGAGAGTAGAGTTATTAGATACTTTCGCTATTAGAAATTTAATTATATTATATCTTTATATAAAGCTAAAGAATCTATCTATATATATTATATATAAAATTATAATTCTTATATATATACGAAGTTTAAAAAATAGAATTTTAAATCTAGATATATTAATTACTAAGATTAATATATAGTATTTAATTTTAAATATAAAAGAATAAAAAGTATTATTATAAAAGTAATTAAAAAAAGAATAAAGTCTTAAATTTAAACTTTCTATTTTAAAGATAGTATTAATTAATTATAAATTAAAAATATTTAATTATAGAACTTAAATATTAATATAATTATATTTCGAGATATAGAGTTAATTATATTTAAATTTAGAAAGATTAAAAAGTTTTATATTAAGAAACTCGCGAAAAAATTAGATATAATAAAATTAATCGCGAAGAAACTTAATAAGAAGACTATAATTATAAGTATTAAAGATATTTTAATTAAGAAATCTAAAAGCTTTTTTTAATTAATATTAATATTTTAATTTAAAATTGAAAATATAAGTATTATAGCGATAGCGGATATAAATATCTTTTTATTTATATTCGCGATTTTATAAAATTTTAAAGAATATTTATAGAAGATAGTAAAAATAAAGAAAAAAAGAAGAATAGATATAAGAAGCTCTCTCTTATTATTATATAAAGATCGCTATTATAAATAAAAGCTAAATAATAAGATATTATTTCGAATATTATTAATAATTTAAATAAGAGCTTTTAATTAGATAAATATAAGAGATAATACTCTTTTTAAAATTAGACTCTCTTTATTATAAGAGTTTTATAATCTTTTTAAAAATATAGATAAAGAGAATTAATTATTTATTATAATAATAAAATCTATAAGTAAAAAGATTAATAAGTTATTAAGCTTTTATTTTATAATAAATAGAAGAATATAAAGAAGATCTCGATATAAAGAGAGATTAGAGAAAATTATATAGTATTCTTTAGAGAATTTAAATTAGAGAATATATAGAGAATATTAAATAAGTATAACTTTTATTAAATCTAGTAACTATATTATTCGAAGCGCTATTAAATTTATAAATACGTTAAATTTTATAAATATTATAATTAGCGAGAATTTTTAATAAGTATATATTTAAAGAAATAAGTAATAAAGCTATTAAAAATATAATTTAAGTGTTAGACCTAATACTATCATAGGCCTTAACGCTGCTTACGCTAAGGCTCCGACATCGCATATATTATATTAGAGTCCCTTTCAGAGTTTAGTTTCAATGACGTACCTCGTATATTTAGAGGCTTAACGAACATAGATCTATTTCGCATATCTCGGAGTTTTAGTATTTCTTAAAGATTAGTTCTACTATTAAATATACTATTACGAGCGTACTCTTAATATACCCCTCAGCTCTATAGCTAGCGAGCCTTGGCGGAGATATTTTCTATTATATTATATCTTCTTTTTATCTATATAGTTCGATATTTTAGTTATCTTATTTAATATATCTATATTAATATTATATCTATATTAATCTTAATACTATAATTAAGATTAATTAATTTATTTTATTTATATTAGCGAATAAATTTAAAGAAATATATTAATAAAAGCTTTAATAAGAAATTAAGTTAAGCTATTATATCTTTAAATAAATCTATTAAATAGATAAATTGATTTTAAAGAATTTAAATAAGATAGTAAAACGATCTTAATAAATAGTAATTAAGAAATAAAGAAGATATTAGATTATTTATATAACTAGCGAATCGAAAGAAATAGCTAATATTATCTTATATTTCTATATTTAAAATATATATTAATAGTATTACTTATAACTTTATATATTATAATATCTAGAGTTTTAATAAAGCTTTAATTAGATAAGAAACGATCGAGTTATAGTTAATTTAAAATATTATTTTTCGAAACTTTTTTATATATAACTTCTCTATAAGATAAGAAATTTTCTAAGTAAAGTAAGTATACTTAAAAGATTACTATTTAAAGTACTTATAATCTTCTTAACGCTTTAAATAATTAAGAAATAAGTATATTAAATCTTTATAAAGAAATAACCTTATCTTAAACTTTATAGTAAAAATTTTTATTCTTAATATCGAATAATTTTAACGCGCTTTTGAGAAACTTTACTACTCTCTAATATATTTGATATCTCTAATATTTATTCTTTCAAAATATTTAAACTCCTCTTTACTTTATTTTAAATCTTCTTTTCTTCTTTTTTATAATAAAGTTTAATATTAAAAAAATAGATTAAATTAAGACTTTATTTAAGTAAATTAAATTTTAATAGATATTAATTCTATTAGATAATATAATTGACGAGTTTAATTTAATAAAAACGTTTTAGAATATCGCTAATATTCTATAATTATAATATTAAATTAAATATTAATCTAACGAATTTATAATTATATTAAATAAGATTCGTTAAAAGCGAGATAATTTTCGAAAGATTATTACTCGATATTATATCGTCGTAATAAAAAAGAATCTAGCTATAAACGATTTATTTTAAATTTATAAAATAATCGAGAAGATAAATTAACTAGTTTAAGATTTTTAGAAAAATATAATTTTTCTATAGCGAAAAGTTAATAACCTTAATCTATAATCTATAAAAGACTTATAACTATTTTTAATTGAGAAGAAATATACGCCTAGATAATTAAAAGAAAAATTAATTAAGATCTTAAATTTACCTCTATTTATTAACGATATTAATTTTATTTAGAATAACTAATTTTCTAGAATAAAATAGAAATTTAAGATTAATAGCGATTATTACTTTATTAAGAACTTTAAAATAATCTATATAGTCTTATAACTTAATAATAAAACTATATAATATATAATATATAGAAAACTTCGAAACTTTATTAACTTATATTAATTTTTTATTAAAATTATAAACGAGTTAGTTAATATTTATAAAAACTTAAATCGATATAATAATATATAATATAATA